CGTTTAAGCCGTTGGTCCCGTGTGCATCTATGGCTCATGTGCACGTTAAAGAACGCAGAACGATCTTCGGAAAAGAGAATGGGATTGTCTCCCGGTGTACTGTCCAATCACCACCCGAAGGACCCCACTGGAAATAAGTCTTCCTCTAGACTTTCGTGGGCTATCCTTGGTGTTTACACCGAATAAATCCAATCCAATCCAGGTACTTAATACAAGTTCTGGCATTTATCTTGCAATTATTAAAGGTAATATCCAATTTTGACTGTCTTCTACACATATTTCGTGTTTAATAATATGGATTCAGTTTTGTGTAAATGTAGCGTTAGTTTATTATCAATAAGCCATTTATTTATAGATTTTAGTTCTTCATTTAATTGAGTTTCAATAGGTTTTACATTATTACTTGATACCATTAACGCTGCATCAACAACATACAATAATAATTCGCATCCTACACTAGAAATAGAAGAGGCCCAAGTATTGAGCCCTGTGGCACACCACACTTCGTTTCTAGCATAGATGTAGTACCATTTATGTCAACGACTTGACAGCTTCCCCTCAAATATGATTGCATCCATACAATAGAGATATCAGATAGCCCTTTAGTTCTTAATATATACAAAAGAATATCGTGTTGAACGGTGTCAAACGCCTTTTTAAAGTCTAAGACTAACATACCAGTGTATATTCACCATTATCCCATTTTTTACGTATATAATCAGACAGATGAATCAAGCAAGTGTCAGTAGAGAACGATGGCCTAAAGCCCGACTGGAAATCGTAAAGGTGATCAGTTAAGTAGCCCATTAATTGATCATAAATAATGTGTTCAACAATTTTGGAAATTGCAAATAGTATAGATATAGGCCGATAATTCACAGCATTATCATTTTTCTTATAGATGGGTATAACCCGGGCACATTTCCAGTCTTTAGGAATACATCCAGTTCTAATAGATAAATTGATAATGGATGTGAGCGGCTGAACAATGCTCTTGCATCTTGTCTGTATTAACAAAAAAAGAATTCAAATAATCATTACATTTTAAGGAAAGGTTACTAATTTGATTAACGTTCTTGCCAGCACCAAGACTTTTTAAAGTTTTCCAAAGATTCTTGGGGTTGTTCTCATTTGCACAAAGTTGGTCAAAAAGATATTTTAATTTTGCTTTTTTAATTTTGTAACGTACTGTGTTTCTAAGTTTTTTAAATTGCGTAAAAAAACTACTGCAGCAAAGAGTATAGAATTATATGTAACACCTCCTCAGTCTTCAGTTTAGAATCATCATGCAGTACATACCAATCACTATGCAGTACCTGTCTCTTATACACATCTAACTAGTAGACTCGGGAACATTATAGATAATAAGATTATTTCGTCGGGAACGATTCTCCAAATCATCAATTTTTTCTTCCAATGATTTTATAGTAACAAGGAGCTTTTCAGGATTAATATTATTTAAATTGTCAATACTATCTTCAATCATAAGTATGTTTGCTTTGAGGTTATCAATACCATCCTTATTTGCTTCAATTGCTTCTTCAGCTTTGTGAACTCTAGTGGTCAGAATTTCGATATTTTCATTGATATTCTGAATATTATGCAAAATTTCATGTTGACCATTTGATAAGTCATTTAGTTTTCGAAGCAGTAATGCCTGTCCTTTGCTAGCTTGATCGCTAGGCTCCGGTGACTCGGAGCTCTTCGTCTTACAGCTAGAGCTGACAGGCGTAGCAGCACCGCCAGTCTGTTGCTGGCCTGCAGCAGCATGTCCTTTCTTCTCAGGCCTAGACCTAAGGGTACGGACTGAATCCGATTCTGGCATAATTAATACGTACTTATTACTTTAATAAATAGCAAACAGATTACAAAGTACTCAATATCACATCAGATGCAAGAATAATTAGAAAAAAGGTGAATTTATTGCCTTAGTTGCTCCAGATTTTAGCACTTTCTAAGAAGACATGTTTTCCATTCCGCCACCAACGTTAAAGACCTTAGATAAGTAAAGCCGAGTTAGACAAGGTCCATGAAGACTGGCTAATGTTGAATGCAGGCAGATATGTGCTATATAAGGTGACAAACCAAGGTTTCGGTCATAATTAGCAGCAGTAGCCTCTATATTATGCTGACTCATGGATTAATTTTACGAAACAGGGTGTTGCAATGAGTCAAGTGCATGACGAAAGAAAAGAAGAAGGAAGGAAATGAACAGATTGTTGCAACTTATCTGATGATGGGTGTCGATTTGTTCGGTCAATTTAATATCATTTTATTCGCTAATCCTTTACTAAGGTTAGCCCACACAATATCCTGTCTCTTATACACATCTAGATGTGTATAAGAGACAGCCTTTTATTTATTTATTTATTTCTTCTCAAGCAATTTGAGTGATTTATACGTTAAATATTTTCTATTTCTGAAAAGAAATTTAAGTCTACCATGTACCTTACCTAAAACTTTCGTACCAGTGGATTTACCATTAAGGTGCTGATCAAGGTCAAGACCCAGGTACTTGATACAGGTTCTGGCATTTACTTATTAAAGGTAATATCCAGTTTTGATTGTTTTCTACTCATATTTCGTGTTCCATACAGTATGGATTCGGTTTTGTCTAAATGTAACGTTAATTTATTATCAACAAACCAATTATTTATAGATTTTAACTCTTCATTTAGTTGAGTTTCAATATTTTTTACATTATTACTTGATACCATTAACGCTGCATCATCAGCATACAATAATAATTTGCATTTTACGGAGGATGGCATGTCATTGACATAAACTAGAAATAGGAGAGGCCCAAGTATTGAGCCTTTCTAGCATAGGGGATCTAGTACCGTTTATGTCAACTACTTGACATCTTCCCTGTAAGTATGATTGCATTCATAAAATAGAGATATCAGATAGCCCCAAAGCTCTTAATTTATACAAAAGAATATCATGATGAATGGTATCAAAAGCTTTTTTTAAATCTAAGACTAACATACCAGTATATTCACCATTATCCCATTTTTTACGTATATAATCAGACAGATGAATCAAACAAGTGTCAGTAGAGAACGATGGCCTAAAGCCCGACTGGAAATCGTAGAGGAGATTTTTTTCAGTTAAGTAGCTCATTAATTGATCATATATAATACGTTCAACAATCTTGGAAATAGCAGAGAGTAAAGACACAGGCCGATAATTCCCAGCATCTAACTTATCATTTTTTTTATAGATGGGTATGACCCGGGCACATTTCCAGTCCTTAGGAATACATCCAGTTCTAATAGATAAATTAATAATAGATGTGAGCGGCTGAACAATATTCTTAGCACCATCCTTAACAAACCTAACAGGTAAGGAATCTAATCCAGCTCCTTTGTTAACATTAAGTTGGTTAATGACGTCAAAAACTTGATTGAGATCAGCTTCCCTAAATACTAGATCACCGGGATTTACATGTTTGTTTTTATAGAATTCTATTACATGACTTTCATTAAAAATTCCTGGTTGGATTGGCAATGTATTTTGTAATTTAGTTGCAGTATTAACAAAAAAAGAATTTAGATAATCAGCCACGGATTCTTTGTCATATAAAATTGAGTCATTACATTTTATGGAAAAGTTACTTTAATTTGATTAACGTTCTTGCCAGCACCAAGACTTTTTAAAGTTTTCCAAAGATTCTTGGGGTTGTTCTCATTTGCACAAAGTTGGTCAAAAAGATATTTTAATTTTGCTTTTTTAATTTTGTAACGTACTGTGTTTCTAAGTTTTTTAAATTGCGTAAAAAAACTACTGCAGCAAAGAGTATAGAATTATATGTAACACCTCCTCAGTCTTCAGTTTAGAATCATCATGCAGTACATACCAATCACTATGCAGTACATACCAATCACTACGCAGTACACACCAATCGTTATGCAGTACACACCTATCGCAGACATGCCAACCCTACAAGGCAAACAAGAGGAGTCTGAAAAACTTCTGAGCGGAGTTTTGGCAATGTGAGAGGGGTATTCCTAAGACATGTTACCAATGTGATCAGATTAACCGTTTTGACTCACAATCAGCAATACCACCGTGCAAAACTAGACCCTAGACATAAAATCAACACCGCACCAATCACAACGAGCGTACCGTAGGCATCACCTACAGTAGTTTTGATTTCAAACTGACAGGATACTTTCCGTTATTAACTTGCATGTTTGCGAGTGTTTTAGCTTTATTTTTGGAGGAAGCTTAACACTACTACTCGTTTTTCGAGCACTGCTTAGGCCTACATCTCCATCGCTCTCATCGGACTCCATTTTCGAAATTGTGCTTTACTAGACTGTTGTTGTTACAAAACCAGTAGACCATGGAGCACTATACAGTTCAGAGTGCAGTGCAACTCTGACATCAATTCGGCCAATGAAATTTGTTTTTTTGAAATCAGTAGACTGTAAAGCATGAATTAATTTTTGTCGTATACAGTTCAGAGTGCAACTCTGACAGCGCTTTGGTCAATGAAATTGGGTTTTTTTTCAAAATCAGTAGACCGTAGAGTGTGAATAACTATTTCGTATACAGTTCAGAGTGCTGTTTTCAGGGCGAAACTAAGTGGTTTTGTTCTTATCTAAATCATAGGATTATCATTTTCATTCGGAAATGACATTATTATGAATCCGTACCTGCTCCAGAAGAAGAGTCACCCTTCCTTCACTTAATTCCTGGATCGCAATCAACAAATCTAGCCACTTGTGAGGGATAGGTCGATTGAACTTCTCTTTCATTTCAAGAATAACTTTCTTGAGTTCAATGATATTTCCATCTGAAGATGAGAGTTTGTTCTCAACAGCAAAATATTTCGGATAGACATGGGACTTGTACACCTGGTTTTCAATTGCTTTGCGAATTTTGGCAAACTTCTCCTCGATCTACAAAAAACAATATACAGTAATTATCACATTATAATCTGTTTAAAAATATTTTTTTTTCTATTTTTTCTTCTACTTTTCTTTCTTTTCTTCTTTCTTCTTTTCTTTCTTTTCTTAGTTTTTTTAATTTTTCATTTCCAAAAAAAAAGAGTCCCGTGCTCAAGGACACACAAAAGCACATAACAAAAAAAGGACTAAAAAAAACGATTGTTCAAAAAAGTTAAACTTACGATACAAAAACTATCACTATGTACAAAAAAGACATAATGCTATAGTATCTATAATTGTGAAAAGTTGTAATAAAATCACAAACACAATTTTCTGTATCAAGTTTATTTTAAGAAAATATTTTCTCATTCTAACTTGAAAACTTATTTATTATTATTATTATTATTATTACTATACAATAAAATAATTAAATACATCCAACATTTAAGCACAAGATGGTATAATACTATAAGAAAAAAAAGAAAACATGTTTATATTATCCATTTGTATTGTCCATTTGTTGATAAGAAAAAATTTATTGAAAGCTATAATTATATATATACAAAGTAAACATCAAATATTTAATTCTACTTTACTAAACTTACAAAATAATGAAATATTTAAACCAAGTTTTATATTATTTATTATATTATTGAGCTTGTATTGTGCAGCTTTAAAGTTGCAGGCATAGTTGCCTCATTGATTCAGCAACAAATACAAATTGAACAAAGACAAAATATGTTTCTACATGGTTCAAACAAAAGTTGTTTAGTATTGTTTACCTGTGTACATATCTCCTCTTCACTTCCAATCAGCGAATTGCGATGGGTAGCAACAATGATGCATACTGAGAAGTCTATCTCATTATCAATATAACGACCATCATCCTTTGCGTATGTGTAAGCTGATCGGATCCAATATAGCAAATACTCAAGATTTGTCATGTAGTGTTTGTGCACTTTCTGCAAAAAAAAAAAATATAACGGTAGAGGTGAAAGGTCATAAAATGCTGCAGTCACATACTGTATATTTCATTAATATTAATTTTTTTACAAAGTATTTTATTTTCCTCCTCTTAAATATTTACACTGTAAACATTCATCCTTAAATTAGCAAATATTTGCAAATGGCTTGCCCTGAGGGTTCAACAATTGAGTATTGTTTAGATGATTACCTCATAGATTGTCTCTCCAAAATCTAAATCAAGGTAGAATATGGAGACTACAGTTAATTTTTATTAGTTAAATATACTTAATAAAATTCTGAAATGCTTACTCCAGATGAATCGATAACCATGGCGTAGGCATCAAGGTCATCAGCAATGTTAAAAACAATCAGGAAGATACCTTCAGGTGTCATGTAAAACTAGCAAATATACAAATAAAAACATAGTAATAATTATTATGAGCATGTTTGTCATAAATAACTGAAACAAAAATAACACTTAGAAAGAAAACATGCATGTATTTTTATAGGTGCTTTCCACATTGTGACGAATCTATATATACATACATACTGTACATACATACATATATACATACATACATACATACATACATACATACATACATACATACATACATACATACATATATATATATATATATATTAATATATAATATAAATCAAGACAGCTGTTAATACAGTGTTAGAATAAAGGACATTAAAATACTTCGTGTAGCATAGCTCTCAATGAATGTAGTCCTGTAAATAAATGAATAAAGAAATTGTGTAATAAATTTCCTCTGGCGGGACTCGAACCTGCGACCTCTCGCTGTCAAGGCGAGAGTCATAACCATTAGACCACGGAGACTTCATGGTTGAACTGATTCAAGTACCACCAGATACACTCCATTACACAATAGGTATGTCTAGAAACAAGTAGTTGCAAATAACATAAATCAATATAGCCACCTTTCCCGACTCATTCAACACTGTGCGGAGCACGGGTATATGCTAGTTGATATAAATACTGCAATAGCACAGTACAATTGCACACATTCCTCATTTAGAGATGAACTGGCTCAATTTAAATTCAAGACCATCTCAACTTGTGCATCTCCTGCGTGGTTCACTGACACCTGTAGAACTGTCATGCAAGAAAGACGTAGAGCTGAACGCAATTGGCTAAAATCTCAAGCTCAGGTGATCTTGCAGAGTACAGGATTCAATGTAATCTTTACCATTATTGTACTTTTGATGAGGTTCAAGCTTCATACATTCAGTCTGAGATCGATGGATGTGGTATTGAACAGAGAGCTCTGTTTACGGAGGACGACTATAGCAGATTTACCACCTTCCTCCAGAGCATTTCTATAGACCGAACTGGCAACTCCAGTTATTACTGGTCATGTGACATATAGTGGGTACAAAATGTACACATCAACATGGTAAACCACAGTGCGCTCATTGAACACAGTATATTGAGAGAGAGTTATGATGTTTTTGGACAGCGACCCAAAGTAAAGTAAGGCAGTAGGCCTATATTTTTTATTTTAATAGTAATTTATCTACTTTGACAATCTCTGTGCATTTTATTTAGGCTCTGGAATGCTGCTAGTGTAAAGTAGGCTATAAATAGTTAGGCCCATAGGCCTAGGCTGCACTGTGAGTGTTAATCCTTGACCAGGACCTGGGAGGGAGTTGTTATGCCTCGACTATATATCTCTGTAGTCGTACTGTAGGTAATAAAGTAGAAAATAACCCTTAACAGTACTGATTGCTCAACCAAACTTGTGAAACAGGCTGGTGATGAGGCCTGGTTGGTATGGTGCATCCTAATGCCAGTACGTAATAATATGTTAGGATGATCATTATCCTCAGCAGTAACTATAAACATCCTATATGATTTAATTTTGGATTTAAAATAACTGTAAAATAATACTCTTGCAACGAATGCGGAGATTCGTTGTTTTTTTTTCATGGTGTGATAGCATTTGCCATGAATAATATTCTTAACTTAGGCCTTGGCCTAAAAAGTACCTCAGCCGGCGACAACTCCACTGGAGCAATATGCACGTTGTGAAAATACCGTACCTTGACCAGGACCTGGAGCAGGGAAGGAGTTGTTATGCCTCGACTATATATATACCTAATAAAGTAGAAAATAACCTTAATGGTATTAATGGTAAACTTGGGTCTAGTAAACTTGGTCTAGCATACAGGCTGGTGATAATACTAAAATAGGCCTGGATGGTATGGTGCAATGCAAGTACATAATAATAATAATATTTGTTATGTCATATGATGATCATCATCATAGGCAGTAACTACAAACATCCTATGATATAATTTTGGATTTAAAATACAAAATTACTGTAAAATAATACCCTTGCAATGAATGGGGAGATTTGTTTTTTTTCATAAATGGTATTCTTGCATTAGCCCTAGGCCTAAAAAATGTACCTCAGCCGATGACAACTCACTGGAGCAATATGCACATTGTGAAGGTACCGTACCTTTTCTTGAAAAACTTCCATGCTTTATTCCCACTATCCATTGAAGCTTTACCAAACCAAACTGATAAGTGTTTGAAAATTTAATTTTGGAACACTTCCGAAGTGATTTACCAAATAACTTGCATTCAAACTGACATTTATGATCTGACTATGATGTGACTTACACCAACAAGGCGAAGCCATATTCAATGCACTGTCCTCTCGCGATCTCGATAGATGTAAACAAACCCTATCCAATGTAACCGATTTGCTCTATTGGCTACGGATTTCAACGCATATATTCTGTCAACAAAATCAACCAACTGCATCAGCACATCTCTGATAATAATGAACACAATTCACTTTTAGGGCCATATCTTCTTTCTCATACCTTCGAGACAGTCACTGAAAATGAGGGCTAATCTATGCCACCTAAAGATTGTGACTTAAGTCTTCTTCCCACCAAGAATCATTTGTAAACTCAATTGTGCTATTTCTTTATTTTGATTTTAAATTAATTTAAAATATCTTTTGTATCTGAAGTCATCGAGAAAGTTATTTGTTCAACATTGAAGTTTTTAAACGACAATAATCCAATTGCTCCCTACCAGTCATCCTATAGAAAAGCACATAGCACAAAATCTGCTGTACTGAAAGTGAATAATGATATATATTGCAGGTTCTTGACAGAAGAAATTGAACCTTGTCAGTGTACCTAGATTTGTCCACCGCAGTCCATATGATAGGTCATATGGTATCCTTATCAATAGAATATGTGTATTTCTGGTACAGTGTTGGCACAGTTCAATTCTTACAAAACAAATAGAAAATAGCCTGTTAGACTATTAAATTTGGTGTTCTTTAAAGTTCTACATTGGGGCCCATTTTGTTTCTCATTTACATGCGTCCTCCCGGAGACATTCGTAAACACGCCTCTAAATTGCATTGCCGAAATTCCATCTTATCACTCCTATAATCCGAAGCCTTCATTGGCTGCTATTGAAGCAGAATATTATTTTTAAAGTTCTTCTGTTTTTAATCAAATCACCATATATTTCTAAATCATCTAAGTTACGCTCTGCAACATGCTCTCGTTCACTCAGTTCAACATCCAACTTGAAGTCAATTGGAGAGCGTTCTTTTATGTCACTGCACTTAAGTTGTAAAACTTGTTGGCTTTGCTCACAAGTAAATCTCTTTAAGCCACCTTGTTTTAAACTTTGATTAAAGAATCGTTTGTTTCTTAATCGTATCCTACATAACAGTTTTATTAGCTTTATTAGAATAGAAGGCACGCCGCCTGAGTCCGAATTGGTAGAGATTTAGCAGGTGCTTACCAAAGTTTAATTACATCAGTCCCCGGTTAGCGACGAGGGCATATACCCATAATGTGGTTTGGGCGCTGGCTTGAATTGGAACTTTCATCTTTATTTGTTTGTTTCACATTTCTAAACATCTCTACACTTTATGTATTTTGCACTTGATAAATTTAAAACTATTATCCATTTATCACTTTTTGTATTGAAAACCTGTCTGGGTGAACTTGGACCTGAGTTAGAATTGTGAAGGGACCTAGTGTATTAGATAAAAAGGTACTTAAATCTAGTTTTTAGAGAAAAAACCTGAAATTCACCGAACAATCATGTTCCATAGTTGCTTAAGCCCATGTACTGTAGGTCTAGGCCAGTAATGACTTGTTGCAATAAACAAGTTGATTTTTATGACATTAGTTAAGCTAGGGTGGAAGTGAAGGTTGTCAATTTCCACTGCTTGGTTTATTATAATTATACTATACAATAACACATACCCTGTGAATGCTGTGGTAGATTAGTTGACCTCCATAGTCCCATATCCGTAATGAGTTATCCCTTAAAGATTTGCCTTGCATTACTTGTACAACCTTTTTAATCACATCATCCATTCTTTGTGATTGTGCAATATCTTTAAAGAAAAGTTTAACATTAATAAACTTTTAGGAAGTATAATTTAACATACATTATAATCACCAACACCAACATTATCAGGCGAGACTTTTAACCTTGTTTAGCCAACCCGCCGACTTGCAAATATTGATGATTTCTAATAAAAATTAAATTTTATTTTTGGCAATTTTCGCACCCGCCGCCATTAAAAGTGGAAATTTCAGAAGAAAATTATTTTTTTTCTTTATTTTTATTACGTCCTCTGCTGCTTGAAATCTCCAAAAATAAGATATGTACAGTATATTTCTTTCTAATTATATAAATTTGAAGCATTTAACCATCCTATTTTGCATTCATCAATAAAATTTTATTTTCATTTTCTACTCCGTCTGGATATTTTTGACAAATCTATTTGCTAAACAAGAACAAGGAATAAAAAGTCTCGCCTCAGTATTAATAACATCAACACCAACAACATTGCCAACAGCATCCATTCATCCTCATCATTGAATTCTCCTCATTGAATCCTTGTCATTTTACCCTCATCACTGCATCCTCATCATCATTATCAGTATTACCGTTACCTCTACATCCTAATCATCGTATCTTCATCATTACTATCATCATTCATATTCTCAACATTGCATCGTCATTATCACCATCATAATTACCATAACCAATAAAACTGACAAAAAATAACATTACTATAAATGACACCAATATTACAATAGCTGTTTCTATTTAATTCTTTTTTAATTGAATTTGAAATGAATGTTATCCAATGATGCTCCACAAATTAGGTTTCATAACAAGATTTTAAAAAGGTGTCTCGTTTGTTTATTTTAAACATACCTTCCACTAGTGATGCTGATGCCGTGGCCTGTAATGAAAAGATTAATCTGGTTAACATACAAAACATTACATTAAAATTATTTTGAAAAGAACAGTAAAACTAACATACATTTCCTAACACATGCATGAGGGAATTTCATATTTTTTCACTTGTCCCCGGACAAGTACCTTTGGAAAATGCACTTGTCCTGAAGACAATTTTACTTGTCCCAATATCATTGCACAATAATCATAACAAATAACACAAAAGTAAACCATTTTTGCTATGGCCCTAAAATTTCAATATGTATGATGATATAGAGAAATTCAAATAAAATAAACATTATTGATAATATTCTATGTATGTACAAGTTTGTTGTAATCGTTTTCTTATTGCGTGCTTAAAAGCTGACGTCAAGAAAACTGCAAGTAAAACATTCTCAGGCATGGTTTACTCTCACGATAAACCAGTTCTCAGCCAAATGCTACTTTAACCATACAAAAAGAAATGCTTCACTATGGAGACAGGACTGTGTTTCTCACATTATTTTGGGCGACCATATCGTACGTTTCTACCCGTTTGTAGATCTTAATCAATTCTAATACTAAATTTAAATGTATAGGATACAAAAACTAATTCAAATTGCATGGGAAAACCTCTAGAAAAATCAATGTGGAGAATTGTAAATACCTGTGTTCCTACTATCAAGGACTCAATTTTCTCCAAAATATCCGTGGAAATCATATTTTCATAAAGTATTTTAGAAACGCGGAAACGGATTTCTAGGCCTAATATTTTTTCACGGGGGATATTTTACAGCCTGCCACATCCTCATTTAATTTATTGCAAAATAAATAAAATTGCTCTCAACGAAAGACAAGCACTGTATAACTGATACATTTATAGGCCCTAAATCCTCAATTTTTAACACCAGTTTTACAAGATTTGGATTTTATATGCACATTATCTCCATCACTTAGAAGTGAATGATGTTTTAATTACTTTGACAACTTCAAACCCCAATTTAACTACACCTTTTCTGTCTAAATTGCCTTCCCCACACAAAATAGACTACTTTCTTTGAAGTCAGCCTAATGGCTGTTGTTCATATTCATACTCGAGAGTAGACTAGTCTTGAATTTCAGACTTTTCATGTTGTCAAACTCAACTAATCCACCAATGGTTGTGCGCCCAAAGTCTTTGAAGATGCCTGGTATTTATAGAATAGACCAATGCGAATTTACATTGTAAACAGACTACGTGCAGCATGCCCGGTGACTGGAGGCTGACAGGTACAATATCATGTGAAAATAAATACCTGCTAATGCACACCTACGACAGATCTGGCTAAAAATTAACAACTAAGAATCCACTTCCAATTTTCACTGCAGAAAACAACATATGTTATATTGAGTAGGCCTACGTGGGAGTGTGACTCTAAATTGATGTTTAATGATTAATAAATAATAATTCAAAATTTGTTACACTTATACCAACATTAAGTAACGTATGAACTTTGATAAGAGTTGCAAGTACTGTAATATGTAGGCCTATATCGCGATATGTTGAGTCGTGTTGCCGAAAATTCGGTCAACAACATGTAGTACCAGGGGCCAACATGTAGTGCCAGGGGCGGTGCGTAACCATAGTAGGTTTCTTTTTGATATCTCTTTTATGGGCCGATAATTTAATAATATGAGGCATGTTGCGGCAAAATGGCTAAGTTGTAGCAAAAGTTGAAATTCAAGTTATTGGTATTTTCAGATATCTGAGTATGTTATCTTTAAAACGAGGGGTCATTCATTTAAATTGGACATTTCAAGCCTAAGTTATTGAAAAGTAAAAGTACAGCACTCTTAGAGTCAAGATAAACATGATTTTGAGTAATTGCCTTTCAAAGTTTTTTGTGAATACATTGTTTAATAGAATTAACTATCAAAATAATGTTAAATAAACGGTCTGTTTACCACTTCCAGAATTAATACTTTGGGACATGATTAATAAGACATTAAACTGTTGATCTATAGTAAAAACAAATTTGGATTTTTAGGCAATTTGTTTGAGCTCCCATATTTTATAGCTCATTTACTCAATACTTGACTGTGCGACAACTTAACCATTTTGCCACGAGAAGACTCAAGTATGCTGCATATTGTCAAGAGTCAGACTTCTATAAGTACCGTAAATGCATTACGCATTACATGGTAAAGTAGCCTGTTCTAAAAGTGCTTGTCCACGGACAAGTGGTCCTTAAAATTCTAGTTGTCCGACCATAAAAAACACTTGTCCCGGCCGCCAGGCAAGTGGGTTTGCTCATGCCTGCTAACAAAATCTGCTTGATAACAAAAAAAAACTTGATGATGAGTAAGAATACTACTACTTATGCAACTTATGAGTATTAAAAAAAATATGAAAAATGAATTCTTACTTGAGGTGTTCCATCATTAGTTTCTTCATTACCAGATACCTCTGAAACCAGATTTTCATAAGCAAAATATGTAAAAACTATTTAATTTGTTAGGTATAATAAAAAATATTGCATGAAAGCATCATTAAATAATACTAAAGCATAAAAAATAGAATATTATTATAACTAGACAAAGTGTTTGAAGATGATGTGGCCTACATTACCCCTCCCATACAAACTCTTCCAACATAGACCAATACTTCAACTAGTACTCGTACAGTAACCTTGGAATGAGATTATATGAGCGAATGAACTTGTATTTCAGACAATTTGGTGTTAAAAAACTTCCTGATTTTTCCAATGTTAGGAACGTAGTAATTAGCAGACTTTCATGTAGAGCTAACATGTCAATCAAAAGCAAGGTGTTGGTCAAAAATGACTCCAAAGTTCCTGACAAATGTACAAGGCTCAAGGACTGTTTTCTCATTGGATGGAAAAGTGGGCTTTGTGTGAAGAAATCTAGAATGGAATACAGTAAAAGTTTGTTCTGAAACATCCAGTTTTTTATTTAAAGAACTGTCTGCTCAATCCTATTTATCGCAGTGATTCAAAATTAGGATCAAAAGCAATATACAGCTGAATATCTTTAGCATACAGGACTATTTTGGCAACCGAAGACTTACACAAGTAATAATTACTCAAACAAAACCTTTAAAAATGTTTTACTGTATACAAGATACATGATACTATTAAATAGCAACATACCATCATTAGACTTTTTTCTTTTTTGACCACCAGTTGGTCCCAATGTTTGACTTTGTTCTCCTGAAAACAACAAAGTGATAGATTAGAACACAATACAACAGTGGTACTGGTGGTAAAAACTAAGAAAAACTTATAAAATTATTGCTAACTACTAGTTATTGAATAGAAAAAGAATACTCAATAAATTAAAATCTTCATGAAATACAGTATTGTACTAATAAACTTAAAAAAATAAATAAAGTTTATGGTGTACGGTAAGAATGGCCCCGGAAAAAAATGGCCCCGGAAAAAATGGCCCCGGAAATAAAGGCCCCGGAAAAAATGGCCCCGGTGAAAATGGCCCCATATGACAGGTAGGTAAAAATGGCCCCAATAATCAAACTCTGTAATAAAACTGATTTTCTTGAT